AAAGAAAGAAAGAGAGAAGGTTAATCAAGTGTTAACGCAGAAGATAAAGCACAGCATAATACCGTGCTAAGTTGAAATACGAACCAGTTTTGCCCTGTTAGGAAAAATAACCAGTTCTTCCAGTGTTTGGTGATATGCAAACAGACCGCAGGTGGGCAGCAGTAGGCGCTTCCATTTAAGGTATAGGATTTACGTACGATTAACCAAGGTGGTTTTAAAAAGAATAATATTCAACCATTTAAAGAGTTTTTTCAGGGCATCTGTGGTATCTTAGATTTTTCGTGAAACATGTCAAAAGGTATCAATAAAAGTGTGTTCTTCCGTCTCAAACTCCATGATCTGTCCCTTAGACCCCACTACCATATCTAGATCAATCTAGCAGGATCGACCCATCTCCGAGGGGGTTCTCGCTAAATTGCATTCAGATTAAGCGGCTTAAGTGTCTGGCACGCCTACCGAAGCTGGTAAACGATAGTTACTTACCCCATAACAGCTTCATTAGGCGTGCCAGACATCAGAGCCGCTTAAGGTGAATGTAATTTAGCGAGAAACCCCTCGGAGATGGGTCGATCCTGCTAGATCTATCTAGATATGGGAAAGGGGTCTTAAACCCCTGTCTATCTTGGTACCATAACTCAGACTCCCGTCAAGAATAGTCTGGCAAATACATGCTTTGGTTCACCAAGAGGGTAGGGTGTTGGATGTCTTCGTCTCGTACATCCATACATCTTCCCACCTCTGTCGGGTTAAGCACTCTCTGCGTGCTTAATCCTGTTTTACTGTCCCGGTGTTAATGTTTCGCACTTAACGCTTACGGTGCCATTTAATGGGATATTAGCTCTCTTTACAATATACTGTTTCACGCTTATCTGCAATTTTGTTTCTTTTTGCAATATGTTATAAAAAGAAAAGGGACAGTTAGTTAAAGCATCATCACAATTGTCTTGCTCGGGTTTCAGATGGACAGGTGAGACCCAGACACCTGCGGATTCGGTATGCGGTAATGGGTACTTAATGTAAATAACATGGGTGTAATGCATCGTAGATAGAGGTAATGCTCTTCAACTTCAACCGAGCATGAAATAAAATATGTTTATAATTTCCTCCAATTTTGCGACGTTTCCCCACCAACATCTTGCCGGATCTTAGCACAAGGAGTCTTTTGTGCATATCTCTTAAACGCAGAGTTTTTTTAGGGCGCAGAAATGGTTTTCTTAAACAGTCTTAACTGTCAGGTATGTTTTACTTATGAATAACGGAATGTAAAATAAAACATATGACAAGCAGAATCGACCTCCCTCTACTTCTTATCATACAGTTTTTGAATACGAAGGATGCTGTGACACTGATAAAAGTTGTCATTGTGCACAGATTGTGCACAGATTTACTCAACAAAACACACATACTGAGACAAAAAGTAATAAAAATCACAATAAAATTATCTTGAGAAAATACTTTCGTTGAAAAAACCTCCTTTTCATCATAGTTATGTTTATTAGACTGTCCGTGATAGGCTAATAACTGTGACATTTAAAAGCCTCATATTAAAATACAAAAACGCGTACTTGGATTAAAAGCAACAAAAACACAAATTACCATACAAAACGTACTTGGAGAAAATACCGCCTGTGGAAATGATTCCTTGTTGTGTTTATATTTTCATACAGTTAAAGATACCTTAAACATTGCCAAGACCTATATGAGACGCTGTTTAGTGTTTTAATACTTCCTTTAATCATATTTATCTTGTCTGGCCCTCCATACGTGCCACACCACATTAAACAGCACTTCTTGTTAAAGAGCTTTGACTGCAGTGATTAACGAGTCAGGCGTCTATTTTATCTTGGGCGAATTTAAGTGAAAGTTTGTGTCTGTGAAGAGAGAAGCACTGAAGGTGTGTGTGTGTGTGTGTGTGTGTGTGTGTGTGTGTGCGCGCGCGCGCGCGCGTGTGTGTGTGCACATGAGAGAGAAAGAGAGAGAGAGAGAGAGAGAGAGAGAGAGAGAGAGAGAGAGAGAAATATGGCGGGAGAGGGGTGAAATATGTGAAGCGAGAGGAGAGGGAGGAGAAAAAGAGGTGGAGAATACACATCTCTTGTTCGCCAAGAGGACAACCACAAGAGTGAACAAACCAGTATTATTAGAGTAAAACCGCAACTTATCCTACTTTCGGGTCGTGTGTTTTAGACTTTGCGTCGAAGTCTCTCAAAGAATAATTAGAAATATAGACCTCCTACTTATGGGACACTTCATTCTACAAGTGTCTATATTAATTTGTGCCTTCTTTTTTCATATTGGTGTTTGATAAGCCTTACGAACCCTTGTTTAACGCTCCAGTATATATTAAAGTGATAATAGGTATATCTTTAAAGCCATCCAGATGAGCACGAGTATATTAGCCACTGATCTTCATACATCATATTAACACATGATTGCCCACGGAGTAACATCGACTCGAATGACAACTTCTCATACTTCTCTTCTTTTTGTCCTGGTTTCTATTGCATACATACCCTAAAGGTATGTTCGATAAAATAAACCTGTCACTGCCATATATATAACTATATATATATTCATAAATCAAAAATATCATTTACATCATATTCATTTAGGCTACGTGCAGATATTGTGCTGTTCTAAACAGATACACGCAGTAATATCTTTAAAGAGATTCTTTTCTATGTACACATGAAGCATCTCCAGCCAGACATTAAGCTATCCCGTTGTCCCCACTGTATGTGACATGAATAAGGACTGCTAGTTTATGGCATTAAAAGTCCATAAAGCGACTTCAAAGTGTGAATATTAAAACAAAGCATCAGTATTCCATAAAGACAAGGTACATACTTTGATTAATTGGAGTATGTCATCATTTCGTATTATTACCGTACTATATTGTATATTTACAAACCAAAGCTGAACACCACTTCACTAAAAAAAGACAAAGAAAAATTTTAAAAGTTTTTTAAAAGTGTCAATACAAAGGTATCACAACAAATTCTCCGTTTCGCACGCAAATCAGGAAGGACACGAGCTCATCAGGACAGGAACCATGGGAACGGGGAGCAGAAAAATGGCAGTTGCATTTCTCACGCCATAAAAGTTCACAGCAGGGCCAATAACACAAAATAAAATAAAATAATGGTGACATCATCTCGAGAGTGTTTCAGCTCTCCAGGCCTTGTATGGCCATCAGAAGCTACGACACGTCTCGAGCCACGTAAAAGGTGCCCGTTGAATGATAATGTCCAAATCCTTGGCAGAGATGGCACAGGTGATATCAATCTCTTCTAACAGCCATCAATTAGGACAAACCGGACAAGTGTATTTGCACTTAGAAAGCTTGACATACGACGATCTGCCTGTCCCTTGATATGTGTTATGCATCAGCACAAATAGTCAAATACCTATCATTTCTTCTTCTTTTTAGGGAGGAGGGGGGCATTTTGCAAAGCATTTATCATATCTTAAGTTGTGCTTAGTAAAGAAATTTACATGTATACGTCATTTTGACTCTGCAAGTTGTTTATAAATTTCTTCATAAAATATTTTGAAAGGTTGAAAGAACTAGCAAATAGACATGCAAAGTCTTGTTTTGCCTGGTTTTTCATAAAATTTATTCATTTATTTCGTTGTTAATTAATTTTATTTACTCGTTGATTTTTAGATTTCACTCGGTGTAGGGCATGCGTCCATTTCGAATAATGCACAATAGGATCACAACAGAAATACAAAACATGGAAATAAATAGTTTCTTTGCATAATGAAGTTACTTTGGTAACATAACTATGCAGGCAAATCTGTCTTCAATGCATATCTTATAAACGTATAACATAAAGAGTCGACAGGGTTTTGTCTCGGGTTGCCTCTGATGGTAGACGCCAAGGGGCATATGACATTCATTCATGCATTTGGATACATCCTCCAGCATGTACACATACAACGACATGGCTTGTTAACAAGAACAGCATCAAGAACCTCCTATATTAATAATCTGGCATCTTAGTCATGATGTAGCCGAAGACTGCCAACATAAACGCTCATGGTAAAGACCTACATCACTGTACTTTACAGCTCATGGTGATTGAGAGCCATGTACACACTTGTTGCTTGTCGCAGGAAATTAACGCCTCTGGATACCCCATTACTTTAATTTCTGGACGCCTCAGACAACTATTTCAAAACTATGTCCTGCATTAATTTTCGAGAATAAAAAAATAAAAATAAAAAACTATTTGAAAACTAGTAAGAAATCGTTTTCGAAAGAGGCTGAACGTATTTTTGCCAATGAGGCATGGTGTTTCTGCCTTCGGACATGATTCTTTACTTTTGTACCATCTTTACATAATTAAGAGACAATGAATCAATGAATCAATTTCTGTGTATCTGAAAATCATAAAGTGTTTTGTTTTGTGTTTAAGTGTTTTTACGGTCACAGGACTAATTGCTCCACTATCATGCCCAAAAAATATGAATCAGCCACTTTTATTATCCCCAACATAAGCGGAACTGTACATTGAAGTGTGTGAAAAACAACAAAAATCCTAATTCCCCTTTAAAAACTTTGGTTAAATGCCATCTGACGTGATTCCCCTGATATAAATTGCTGTTGTAGAACTCATTGTTGTTTCCACAAAATAAATTGAGTTAAACCCTTTGAAAACAAACCGAATTTTATTCTCATAAAGGGCGACCCTGGATATCCAAGGTCGGTGACATTAAAGTATGGATATCATAAAATTGGTGTATGTATCTATATTTATATATATATGTACGTATTGCGGTTTTATTTGTTATGTGGTTAGTAACCATTGAACAGTGTGGTAGACGCATTTTCACCAAGGAAATTGAAGAAGGGTGTCAAAATAACCATTTCAAACAACATTTACCCCAGGAGAGATGCAGCAAAATATGTTCCATGGGAGTAGAAAAAGAGTGCATGCGTGCTCCTTTAAATTTACAGACATGATAAATAAATATAATATATCCTTTTCAAAATATGACTTCTTTCGGCAACTTTTTTTAAAACATCGGTAACCCCATTTGAGGGAGGGCGTTTTTTCATTCATGTCTCAAAAACCCTTCACCTTGTGTCCGAGAGGCATTTACCTGATGAACGACTAAAGGCTAGTGGACGGAAGATGACGTCAACGTTAAGTTCACTGGCGGCGTTTTAAGGGGTGGGCGCCTGCTAAGGTTAACTATAAGATTCATCACATGGATATGACCTACTTAACGGTGCAAGGATTCCAGGCCAATCTCAATTTTGTCACACAGGTCGTATAGTCTGATTTAACATCTGAATAATATGCTGTATTTTCAACATATCTTTAATATTGAACATTTTACTTTCGTTATTTTCATTGAACATATTCATTTTTCCCGCTTGTGGTAAGTTATCATGACACTAACTTTAGAGAGGCCTAAATAAGAATACCCAGAGGGCAGCACAGATCACCTAGAGGGCGGGCCCTTGCAAGACAATCTGTCATATTTGACATGGCACACGAATGGGTCAAGTGCCTGTGGTAACTGACAATGACCGAACAACTGCTCGTCTAAGGTGTTTAAAGAGAAGCTAGCAGCCATATATGAACATTCTTAGAAAAGAATCATATTGTGGCCATGAAGATCTTAAGTAGTTATTTTTTTTCTTTTAAGGATAATGAAGTTGAGTGGCAGTTCAATATTAATTTTTGATCTGTAGGTGGAATAGTTTAGTAACTTTTCACATACATCAATTATAATCATTATTTTATCATTATGCCTATCATGATTAAATCTTGTAATTCCCTTTACTTTATAATTATTATCATCATAATGTATGTAAGAGTGACAAAATACTGTTTGGTTCTTGATACCTCATATAAAGGCTATACCATCGGCGACTGCATCACAAATTGGAAAACCACAGCTTCCATGTCAATCCATCCCCCTCTCTCTCTCTCTCGTGGTTCATTAAATTTCTCCCATTTCTGCGCAAGTTGTTAAAACACGTGTTTTTTGAAAATTCATGGACTGGGAGGACACTGTATCAGCGGAATTCTCAAATTTCTCCAAATATCACCAAAAACAACAGCAATACTTTAAAATCCCCTTACTTCTTTCATAAAAGCAATGTAGAATTGAAAAGCAGAACAAGGTTGGTTAAAATATATCAAAGCAAAGTTCTGACTCACCATAGCCCCGGGTCCTGGGTTCAACTCTACATCACCACTCTGAAGCAGACGTTGCTTGTCGCTGGAAAAGTCGCCCCCCTGCACAGGACTCTCGTGGCTGCGGTATTTCTCGAGATCTTTCATCGGCGCCCTGTCAGCGTCTCCAGCTGGTTTGTAACTTCCAATTATGTATGTTTGTCTGAAATCCCTTTATTCAAAAATATCCCTTGTCCTTACTTCTGGCTGTAACCAAGCATGATTCCCTTGTGTTGTTGAGGTCCCGTTTCTGTTATTTGTGTCCCTGTAATTGAAAAATTAACCGGTGTCAAGTCCTATGTTAAAAGTTTTTCAGATCTTCATATATGTTAGAAGAACCGTTGCCATAAGGCCACCGTGCCCCTATAACATGACAACCACAGGAAACCACAACTTCCATTTTTGCTGTGCTGAATATTTTATGCCAAAAGACCTTACTCGGTTTACAATGAACATATCACCGCCTAACACAAGTAGACCAAACGACAAGACCATGACAACAAAATATGAATATGCAAATAGTAAAAATGAAAAGATTCCCGTAAGCTATGTCTGGGCCCAAACATCCGAAAGCGTGATGGTGCAAAGTAATAAAATCCAAAATGAGTGCATATTTAGCAATGGTTTGGAAAAGTGACAGAGAGAAACCTGAAGTTCAGGCCGATACATACTTTCCATGTATGGAATGGAAATTATACACTTGATAATATGTTTCTTCTTATTTGGAAGTTTTTAAATAAGACTCATACCAAAACGAGTAAATGTGGATTCCTGACCTAACCCCTACTCAACGTCATCGTCAAACCGCACATTTTGTATACCATAAAATATATCAAAATCTGTAGCTTTCCCATAAAGAAGTACAGATAATTCATTATAATAGACGATGTATATAAGACCTGTTGCTACTTGTGAAAGCACTGCCCCGATAAAAGACATACAGGGTTACATTGGAATACAGTTCCATCCTCAGTGCCACGTCATGCAAAGCCCCCGTTTTTATACCCCTCCCTGTATCCAACCCCATCCCCGCCACCCCGCCCTCCAATCTATATATAATATTGGCTCCCCACAGCCTTCTTACCTCTCACAATCACTCCCAGCGAATTGAACAAATTTAAAATTTACGGTGCAACTATTGCTGTCGCTCTCAACTACAGTTCCCACACACCATAACATTACGACATGCACAACTAACATAACATAAAGTGCTATATGTACTAACAATTAACGTCGTAAAAATAACACTCAACTGAGGTTATGTTGGGCTTTCGTCTGGGCATATTTTCAAAAAAAGCAGCTGATGACGCAACCCCTTTCTTGATAGGTACAAAAATATCTGCAGTGGAGGGTATGGGAAAAATTAAGATAAAGGAACGAGAAAAACAGCCTGGTTTACAGGATATTAAACTTGCAAACCGCAACGGTGGAAGAGAGAGCTGCTTGTCTGGTGACGTCATTAAGCCTCCACGGTCTAAACTTGTCCAGTTGTGAACTTGACCCATGAGTCCTCAGGGTTAAAAGTGAGACAGCCAGATAAGCACAAGTTTTGGCGAATAAATGTCACAAGATTGGAATATATAAATGTCAAACTGCCTATGCTCGAGACGGTTCCGTTCGTGCTCGTCGTTATGCAAGACGGAAAATGACGATGTCATTGTAATTAATCGCCATGGGTAAAATTCGAAGTTGCAGGAGTAAGGCCGCAGGGGGCACAGGTGTGGTCACCTCCAGCCCCGTTTTTACTAGAATAGTTTTAGATCAGATCCACTCCAGGAAGTAGATTCAGAGTTATACCTCACCCTTGGGTTGATCATACATTATACTGACCGCTTAACGCAGGTAAAACAGAACAGGAAGGTAATGTCAAGCAGCCTGCTTCTTAGGGATCGTCTGGAAAAGTTATCAATGATAAAACACATGCAAAAAAAAAGAACAGCTACACAGAGCTGCAGCCTTCATAAGTTGACTGGATGACGTAATTGTTTAAATATTTTGCCTATCTCATACGAAAAACACAAGACTTATAAATAGTTTTTTCAAGAGAAAGGGTAAAGTTTGTAGTTTTCGTCCTTGATTTAAATGTAAGGTTAAAACTTAAACTGCAGATTTTAAATGCGATGTGTAGTTTATATATCCATGTTTTCCGTAACCAGTAATGTGTTTCTACATTTCAGTGAAATGGCCGTCACATATTTCTCGCTCCATGTCCGTTTATAAAAAATCTCTATTTAATGTGGCCATGCAAATAAACACACTTGGAAACAGCAAGTCTACATGTATGTCGTCTCCAAAATAACGTCGCACTCACGCATCCTATTAACTATATTAACTACACATTACTTTGTCAAGCAAAATACACCCTGCGGTAGTCTATCTATCATCTTTTTTGCACAAAACAATCATATCACTTGGCTCGTTCCTCCTTCCATCACCCGTTGGAGCCTCCGGCGATCAACGTAAAAAAAGTACATAAAGAAATTAAAAGATGTCATTCTGTGTAGCGTCTTGACAACCTTTCATGCCATAGCTTGACAAAGCATTTTAAAGTTAAATGAAGGATGCTGTTTAGATGGATTTGTAATATCTAAGTCGCTGGCCACTTTACCTTCTAAAATAGAAATCTCTTTCTGAGCGAGGTTCGCAACCTTAATGCAGGCTGGTCTATTGTTGACCACAGTTAGGAAGCCAGTCTGGCTTATCTATGGTGTCCTTGATCTTCCTCTTTATCCTACATTTACGTAGAGAGAAGGAGGGAGGGAGGGAGGAAGAGAGAGGGAGGAGGGACGTGCTCAAGCGCACGCACTCATGCATGTACAGTTAATCCAAAACACCTCTAATCTTTTTATGAAAAGCGAAAGAAAAAAATAACGTTTTTTCACCTCACACCTCATGTGACAAGAGTTTAACCTATAGCATGACAACCCGCACCATTGAGGGGCTGGAAAAGCTGTGTCCCAGTGGAGGCTACCTCATGTCAAATACTTACCCTGCACGCTCAGCCTTTCAATGTCAAACCAGCCGTGACTTCTTGCATTTTAGTTCAGAAAATGTTCAGTCCTCTCACCACGCAATTTCTTTTCGGTAAGTTAGTGAGGCTCCTGTTACAAAGCTAACGTAGAAAGATGCTGTCAGTGTAATGAGACCAACGTCTCACGAATCTCCTCCGATCAACTGTTGCTTAATCCGTTTTGAGTAAGTTCAAGAGCTGTTGCCAAATGTCCTTTTCCTTACGTGTAGCTACAAATTCTTAAAAGCTTAATTTCCTTATCAGCTATCAGCCAAAAACAGTTCAAACAACCTGACATTGTTAAAACACCAAAAGCAACTAGCGACGTGTCACCAATCGGACGACGGTGACTGCGCTCTGTGTTATTTCTGTGCTGAAACGAGAGGTCGAAGGTCAGATGTCAGAGGTCACGCTTTGACAATCCGGTTTGGGGACTTACTCTGAGGCATTAGCATCAGGCCATTTGTCTTTCCTTTTTAAACACTCCCGAAATGAACTAGACTGCTTTCCTGATAAGAGGTTCACTAAGGGGAAACACGATTCTGTCATGATGATGGAGGTGAAAAGCACAATTCTTATGCACTTCAGCCATTGCTATAAGTGCGAATATATCCCGAAGGCATTGTCACACAGCTCAAAAGGCTTCGCCATGGAAAATCGAAATTATTTGCTGGTAAATTTGAACTTCAAATGTTTGGCGGCCAGAATAAAATATATGATATGCACAGTGAAGAGGCAGTTTACATCATACTGTAAAGATGTCTACTTCACAAGTTATATGCACTCCATACATACCCAAACACCTTACGATACGTTTTTAAATCTTTTTGAATGCTGAACGCAAAATTTTAATAATCTCCATATTTCGAAACATAGATACACTTCCAATATTGCAAAAATGGACAGGCCCTTTAATTCCATCCTTTCTCAAACAGAGATAAATTCGGCAAACATAAAGGTATTATGGGGTAGGCCTACTATGGATGCATCAGCTTAAAATAACTTCTGATTTGTAAAAAAGATCACTTGTCACTCCCACTAAAAACCATAAATTATCGCCACCGATACTACCTGTTGTGTGTATGTCTAAATAAGCAATGTCCTAAACACCCAAGATAGTCAATGACCCACAATCTTTCACGAGATGTCTTCACTTTAACTTTCCGTTTTCTGTCAGTATGACTAAGACCCAAACACTGTTAGTCTGTCTGTTTTTGCCCTTAAAGAGAGATCATACTTAAAACACCCGTATATGAGCATTACATTTAAATATACCTTTTTGTCAGCACGGTAACCAAGCCAGATAATCAACAAAAGTTTTGTTGTAAAAGAAAAAAAAAACAACATATTGAAAAGGAAGACATCGATACATTTTCTATTGAGATCAGACCACCTAGCTATACGTGATATGCCCGCAGACAAATTACACTCCGTTGTGTCTCAAAAGTCGTAATTTCAAACAAGTTCGGCCATCCTTACTTGCTATTCTATCTCAGCAGGAGGCCCTGACCCGTATCACAAGTTAATTTATCTTAATATTGACACCAGATAAAAAGGACTGCTACCTTCCCGGAAAAAAGTATTCTACTAGAACATGGCGACTGACCATTTTTCTTTTTTTAACCATGGCAAACAACCTCATTTAAGTGGATAAAGCCTGATTAATCTTGGGTCAGGCTGCTGTCTGCTTTTAGGTCAAGTTTAAGTTTCGACTGCATTTAGTTATTTTGATACACGAGTCCTGTTGAAAAATATTATAAATATAGGTGTAGCTGTGAGTAAGGGTGGCGACTAGAAATAAAAAAGAACATCACAACTGATGGACAAACTGTTTAGATATTTATAGTCGTGAGACCCTCCGGTCATTTTGGACAACGGTATGTCGGTCAAGAGGTCAAGCGTTTAGTAACACACAGGAAGTGCCCCCAGGGAAATGACAGCTGGCAGACGAGACAAAATGCTGTATCTATACCTGTTGTGCGCGCTTCATCGCCCCTTAACACAATTTGATAAATAAATAATCTTATAAAAATACAAAAATTTTGGACACTACATCAACTTGGTCACCACCTTTTTCTGATTTAATCAATACCAGTAGCATATTATTCTATTAATTTACTGGTCTTATATACTTTATATTCGTTTCTTTTTTAATATATTATTTTTCTATAACACAAACAAGAATTTATATCTTGCTTGTACACGGGGTGACGTAGACTTCCTAATCTTTTGAACGCCATTATATCGCCAAAGTT